ACAAAAAAAAAAAACACAGAGAGCTTCCCCGTCCTGCCTCGGCTAGATGGTTGCGGCGGCCAGCCAAGGAGGTCGGCGATATTGGCCGCGGCTCTGCCCGATTGAGCATCCCGGGTGGTCAGATAGACACACACACGCGCCTCCCGCTAGCAGTAGTCAGGTTAGGGTACGTACCTTGGGTACCTGTCTAGGTAGGCGATGTAGGTTGGGGGTCACCTGTCAGCCATACACAACACCCGCTCCGAGGCGAGGACGAAGACGGTAAAAAAGAGGCGCACATACATACACACTTACTCACGCACATACACTTGCAGACACACAATAACCAAACCACTTGGATAATGGATAGACAAGCAGATGAATAACAGATAGATAACCTAGTGGCAGCAGCTCCCCCATCCCGGTGTGCACCACAAAGCAAGCCCCAAGATAGGAAAGCACCAGCTGACCCCCAGGAGCGGGAGGAGGAGCCGCGTTTTGCAACACATGCCCCGGTGGTTTGTCTTGTCCCTGTAAACTCTGATTCTCGTCTCCTCCGGCCTGCATCATCTTCCACCCCTCTCTCTGTCTCTCCTCCACCATCCATCCTCTTTTCTTTTTCTTTTTTTTCTCCCACCGCCTCGCGGGGACCGTTTTCCATTCCCACTATCCTCCCTAGCTGTATGTAGGTACCTACCTAGCTGGGTAACTAGGTACCTGGCCAAGCAGCTCAAGCTCTCCCCCGCTGGGCCCCAAAAAGTGACACGCATACCAAACCACACGCTCTCGTTCGCTCCGCACCCACACACACACAGACAAGACGCACACACATAAACACACATAAAAACACACCTACCTACCTAGCCACCTGCCTGCGCTCGCTTGCCTGCAGACAACAGACGCAGTAGGACCCAATCCCGAACCCGGTTTCTCTTTGCCGGTGCCAAAATGCCACATGGCGCTGGGGATTGGAGGGCAGGGGGGGCATTCCCCCGGCCATCCGGGGGATATGGAGAAGGATGAGGAGGAGGAGGGTGGACTGCACAGCCACCTTTTGGGCGTCAAGGAGGGAACACACGGCAGCTAATTGCTTTTCTCTCCCTCTCTCTCTCTCTCACTCACTCCATGATGCGGCCGGCTGATCTCCTCACACGCATCTGATCTCTCGGGCCTTGACCCAACTGTGCAACCTGGTGCCTCCCCCCCTCCGACCTCTGCCCCGGGATTGGCTCGACGCGTAGGTAGCATCTGCGTTGGCAGGCAGATTCTAGCGTCCCTTTTCTTCTTGTTCTTTTTTTCCCATTCGTGCGTACAGTAGTTAGCTTGGCTCGTCCTTTTTTTTCTCCCTTCCCCTTCTCCCTTTTCCCCCTGGTACCCAACCGTCCCATGCCGTCCGCGCCACCCCTGGATGATATGTGCGTGCCACACACCTACCGGCGTTGCAGGCGGTCTCTATCGCAGCAAAAAAAAAAAAAAAAAAGGTAGGGTATTTCCCTTTCCCAGCGAGGTGGGGAACCTGTCCGCGACCCCATCGATCCGAACAAGACCGGTGAGACTAGTGGCGACGCCGGATTGGTCGATCTCAAGAGGCTGAAGGGTTGGCAGCACCCAGTACCACAGATGCCCGCGGGACACGCGGTGAACCTAACAAGGGGGAGGGTGTGTGTGTGTGCGTGTGTGTGTGTGTGTGCCGCGAGGCCAACCAGCGGCCGGACAGTCCCCGGACGGCTTCTTGCAACCTACTCCCTTTGGATAGCTGCTTGCCGAGTTCGGGAGGACGAACGGCCTTGCGCGTCTTGTCACCACTACCACACACCCATCGTCAATCTCACCACCCACTCCCACCGCCGCTGCTGCCCCCACCCGACGGGGCAATCTCGGAATGGCCGACGCCGCCGACGTCGCTGCCCGCCCGTCCATCCGTCCGTCATGTCGTCCCACGCGCTTCGCCCCTTGGCCCCGTGCCCCCTTCTGTGTTGCGCGCCTCCGAGATTGCGAACCGCGGCGGTGGCGGTGGCGTTAGTGCCAGAGACAAACCTCGCCGATGCCTTAGCCCTTTCCCCCCCTCCTCCCCCGACCAAAGGGATCTCTCCCTTCGTGTAGCACAGGGCGCTGTGACCGGGTGGGGCCGCCACGATAACGGGACACTGGTTCCGGCCTCCGCGCTGGTGGCACTTGGGTTTTGTGCCAGCCGGCGGCACACGGCTGTGCGCGCCACCCACCCACGCGCGGGCGCCGCGGGAAGTCCCACCGGGCTGTTGCAGCCTTCTTTTTTTTTTGTGTCAAGATCGGCTGACAAACCCGATAACCCGATCATCTGCCTCCCCCTGGCGGCGCATGTGCGAAGAGAGAGAGAGAGAGAGAGAGAGAGAGAGAGAGAGAGAGAGAGAGAGAGTACGTACC